GATGGTTATCAAGCGCTTGACTAATAAATAGAAAGTGCTTTCAAAGTTTCTGAATTTCACATAACATGATCTCTTTTGAAGGTTGGTTATGTATTACAGAATAAGAGTTATGGTGTTTCAATGAAGAAGTTCTGTAATTTAAAAAAAATATCCTGTCACAAAATGGCAATACTTTAGAGAAAATGGTGGTCATTTGTAGGAGTTCAGTTCCAAGGGTCTAGGAAGCACGTGTGGGAGTTGAGAACGTTACCGATTGTAACAAAATGCCCTAGATGGCATCTCATCTACATTTTGTCACTGCTATTGTGTCTTCCCAATCTCTACTGGGTATTGAGTGGATGGTGAATACAGCTTAAGGGAACTCCTTGATTCCTTCAGTCTTTTGCCATTTATCATGATATTGCTTGTTGCTACACTTTGTGAGGATTTTTTGCTTTCTTTATTGAGATATGTAATCAACTGAAAGCTAGAATAATATGGTCATCGTTTTCAACTGAGCTTTCTTAATTCTAGTGTTTCATAGGATGATTTCATTTTGAGAAAGAGAGATGCATTGTTCCCCGAGGTTGAAGAGTAAATTACAGGCCATGAAGGACTTGCATGCATCACCAGAACAGTACAGTTGCTGTTTTTATCTGAGGTTGGGCAGTATGGATCTGGGGACACAGAGCTGTCTGTCGTGTAGACAAGATTGGCCTGTAGGCAGCTGGCCGACCCTCTGACAACTTACTCCAAGTACTACATGCCTCACACAATTTTTTATCTCTGGTCCATTTTGCTCCCAGAACTCTCCATTCTTTCTTCCACATTCTGGAGTCATATCTTAGCCTCTGGACCCAGTGAAGGTAGGTGTGGACTGTTTTTCCTACCAAACTTTTAAAAAGACATGACAGAAACCTGATTGCTGGAGCTCATTCTGGTCTTCTTTTCCTAGGACAGGATTTACCTGCTGGCACATGCTGTAGCTCCAAATAGAAATCAAAGCTCCAAGTGGGAGAGCCCAGAAGGTCTGGGATGGATGTGCCTGGTGGCAGGAAGTGTCTGTCATGGCTGGAATTTTTCCTCTTGAGTGGCTTTGTGTCGTCCACACAGGCACGTGCATTCCTTGGAGTTTTGAATCAGGGGCTGCTAACTTGAAGTGTTGTTGCTTCTCTCTTTTGACGCTTGTTCTCCTGAATGGAGATTAGACTTGCAATTCTTCCCACAGGATCTGGGCAGGAGAATGTTAAGATCTGTTTATTTTCATAGAAAGCACTGACCATTCCAATGACTGAGGGCTTAGAGCCACTCTGGGGTGGCCTTGTTAAGGACGTCCTTCTCAGGGCTGTCCTTGCTGCCCAGCAGGCGATGAGCTGAGTCACCAAGGACACAGTGGAAAGGGAGTGACAAAAAGCAAAGGCTTTATATTTTCTCTTGAAGGACACAATACTGAGCTCACCTGCCCAACCGTCCACTTCACTTCTGGGAATTCAAAAGGTAAAGAGAAGTACTTCTGTGCTTATTGTTTTTTCTAAAAGCTTCATAGTCTCTACTGTGCTTACTGTCAAAGGAGTAGATAAAGGCCGTGAACTATGGAGTTTTGGGGGGCATGTATTTAGCCAAATGAGAGATCTACTTAGGATGTAGTGGGTGTGACTTTCTCTGAAGAAATGCGCACAAATGTATGTCAGGGGTAACAGACACATTGGCCTCAATTGACACTCCAGATCTAGTCTGTGACACTCCAGATCTAGTCTGTATGCCAGTGTTAGCATGCATATTAAAATTCTGGATGTGATCTGATTGGTTGCAACTCTCTAATTTATTCTGCAACACAGAAGCTTGGTGATGCTGTTTGTGCTCCGTCAGAAACCTTATTTAAAACAGAGAGAGTCATAGTCATGCATGGTGGTGCCACTCTGGGCTTCTTTACATCAGAGAAAGATTGGTCTTCTTGGTCTTTTCACATGCTGGGGACAATTTCCTGGATCTCCATTTCTTTTGACATTAGTATGAGACTCTTAGATAATATGCATGCTCTGGTCATGAATGCATGTTTGTGTGACAGGGTGAATGCTCTCAAAGTCTTTGGAAATGAGGCTATGTCAGATTTTATAAGTTTGTAGGGCAGAGAGTGAGACTGAAGAGTAGCTCTGAGTTAATGGATGAGAGATAGGTTCAAGGACCCCCATAAAGTGAACATGATAGAGGAGTCTGGGGAAACAGGCAAGAATCTATCCAGTTTGTGTTCTGGTTGGTAAGGACTCCGTTTATGGTCATGGTAAGGACTCTGGCTTTTGCTCTGAAAGAAAGGGTAGCCACTGAAAGTTCTTTAGAAGACAAACACATTAACTAACTGTTATTTTGAGAATATTACCCCGACTTCTTTGTGGAAAATATAATATCATGGTAAAAGCAGGAAGATGAGTGAGAAGACTTCTCATAAACCAGGAAGAGGATGATTACAGCTCTGACTAAGGTCATAAACAGAGGCGTGAGAAAGGGAAGAACTATTAACATCACTGAAGATAGAGAAAAGAGATTTTTCAAATACACTGAATGTGGTATAAATAAGAGATTGTTTAAGGGTGAACTCGGGGTTTTGCCTAAAGAATGGAAAAAATGGAATTGCCGTTTATTGAGTTGGGGAAGGCTATGAGAAGAACCACGGATGGGTTAAGAAAGTGATTGGACATGTTAAATGTTAGTCATGAATCAGGCCTTCAAGTGAGGTTGCTGAAAATTTGTTGGGTGCAGACGTCTAGAATTCAGGGATATACAAATTCCAAAATTGGCAATGGTTAGTGATAATACAAATTCAGAAACTGGTAGTGGTAAGGACATGATGACGGTTAAAATATCCTTTGGGGTGAGATCCCCTGCACGTGAGTGCAAGTAGAGAGGAGGTGTGAGTCTGAATTCTTACGGATTATTATCATGTGCAACCCAACCTGGTTGCAGTCAGGTCAGTTCTGACTCATGGAGATGTAGGTAGGTTAGAAAAGCTGTGCTGCCTGGGTTTAAAGGACTGATTTTTAGGTAGATCACCAAGACTGTCTTTGGAAGCATCTCTGGGTAGATTGGAACCTCCAACCTTTTAGTGAACAACTGAGTCTGCTGACTATTTGCACCACTCAGAGACTCCATTGTGAAGTACATAGCTGTTGTTGTTATGTGCTTGAGTTGAGTATGACTCATAGCAACCCTGTGAACATTAGATCTGAAACCTGCCCTATCCTGTGCCATCCTTATCATCTCTATCACACGACAACCCCCAGTCACTGGGTCAATTTATCCCGTTGAGGGTCTTCCCCTCCTTCGCTGACCCTCTACTTTTCTGCAGACTGGCTTCTCTTAAGACGCCCAAAGTATGTGAAAGGAAGTTTCACCACCCTTCCTTCAGAGGACATCCTGGCAGCACTCTCTCCACGACATATTTGTTCATCCTTTTGGCAGTTCATGGAATACTAAGTGCTCTTCCTCAGAACCACAACTTAACAGCATAGATTCTTCTTCTTCTTCCATCATTCTTATTCATTGTCCAACTCTCAGATGCATAGTCGTAAGTAAGTAGAAAGTCTATGGTTTGGATCAGGTGCACTTTTGTCTTTGAACTCATGTCATCTGCATTGACATCATGATTAGGATTCAGTTTTGAGAGCTTTAGTCATTATAATTTTTGATGCTATTCAGTGTCATTGAGTAGTGACCGTATAGACAACAGATGGGAACCCTACCTTCTCCTGTGCCATCATCATTATTTCAGACATATTTGAGCCCACTGCAGCAGTCGTTGCGCCAGTCCATCTGGTTGAGTGTCTTCTTCCCTTTTGCTGACCCTCTCTACCTTCCCAAGCATGATGGCCTCTCTAAGGAAGAGCCTCGCCTAACAAGGTGCCCAAAGTATAAGAGACAAAGTTTTGCCATTTTTGCCTACAAGGAGCACTCCAGTTGTGCTTCCTCCAAGACATATCTCTGTTCTTTTGACAGTCCATGGGATATTAAACACTCTAATCCAACACTACAACACAGAGGTGTCCATTCTACTTCTGTCATCCTTATTCGCTGCCCATCATCTTATTATGACGGGACATTTTTGTTTTGCTCTCTACTTTCAAATGTGATCCTGACTCATGTTGACCCATGCAAAATGGAATGAAACATTGCCTGGTCTTGAGCCATCCCCAGGTTCGTTTCAGACATGCTAATTATGGTTTTAGATTTAGAAGTATATCGCCAAGTATTTCTTCCTAATCTGCCTTTGTTTCTAAGCTCTGTTGAAACTTGTTTAGCAGCATATCACACAGGACACCACTGACAGACTGGTGGTGGCTGCACATTAGGTGTGTTGACTGGAGATCAAATCCGTGCTTGATTGTACATGGAAGGTGAGAATGCCAACATTAAACAAGCAATACCATCAAAGCAGCTACTACTCGATGGCCTTACCTTACTTTGATGGAAAAGTAGAGTGAATCAAGTTTCATGAAGGAAATAAAAATGTACAGATACTTTTGTGCAAATTTTGCTTTGTTTATGATCAACTTGTTTGTGTAAGACTGACGGGTGGGGTTGCTATTCTGTGAGGCTGGGATATTGAGGCGTCTAGTGAGAAAATACCTGGTCTGGTGGAGCTCCTCTATGTCAGTATCTTTCTATACAAATTCCTGGATGGGGAGGGCCTTGAAGAATCCAAACCAAACACACAGACTTCCAATCCCTTCTGCTCTGATGCTCTGGAACAACTACGGATCATTCCTGAATATGCGTGAATAATGATGAGGTAACTGTGAACGAATGGTTTGAAAGAATAGTGAAGTTTTTACTCATTTGACACTAACGCTTCTGTGAATTCTCCCCTCCAGCATTCATTCATTCCTCAGAAATACTTTCAAAGGCACATGATTCTGCTTATGTGCTCAGACACATTCATAAGTACCTGAATGTGAGATATTGTTTTATACTAATGATATACTGAGCTTGTTTTTCCTTCTGTTCTCAGGCAGCCTTTGTCATAAGCAATGGATTCCCTCAGTACAGCCAACATTGAATTTTGCCTTGATGTGTTCAAAGAGCTGAACAATGACAGCATGGGAGAGAACATCTTCTTTTCCCCTCTGAGTCTGATTTATGCCCTAAGTATGATCCTCCTTGGTGCCCAAGGAAACAGTGCAGAGCAGATTGAAAAGGTACAGAACACAACAAAGAGTTCCACATACTTGCAACTCTTGCATGTGTCCCCTATGCATCAGTGGAATCACTTGCATCTTTTTAATCAAGAAAACAACCCACTGTGAAAGACAATGCAGGCATCCTGTGTTGGTATTGGGGATCTAATTCCAGATTACTGCAGCAAAGTAAATAACGCAAAAGTGACTCATAAAACTTTCTGGTTTCCCAGTTGCTATGAATATTGTCAACAGTACACTGTAGTCTATCAAGTGGGCAATAACAGTGTGAAAAGCTGCTTAATATTGTGGGAATGGCAAAAAATATGACAGAGACACCCATATAGTGAGCACATGCAGTTAGAAAAATGGTGCCGATGAAGGGTTGCTCAGGGCAGGATAACCATAATTCTTCAGCTTCTATCAACCACAAGCGGCAATAGAGCAAATTGGGTGAAAGCATATGAGTTCATCTTAATCCTTAACACTGGAGGATGCCTCAATGAAGGCAACGACATAGTCTCTTACCTGCTGTCGGTAGCTCCAGAAACAAGTCTCTGCAGTTTGCCTTCGAAGTGCCTCCTGTCATGATTTCAGTATGGTAGAGAAGACACAGGTGGCTCCAATTTTGCCCTCTGCAGTTAAATCTATAACACATGATGTTGTATATTTGTAGGCTATTTTACAAGTCATCAATTTTTTTGTTTTCTAAATATTCACTATTCCATTTGACCTTTATAACAACTTTGCATGTTAGGTAGGGGTTGTTCACCCTATTTCATAGATGGGAAAACTGAGACTCAGAGAGGAAGGTTTCAGCTTGCATAAATTTCTGTCTTCTGATTTTTCCATTACATGTATTTCACAATACTACAGAAAACCAAGAAAATTTCTAAACATTTTTTATAACTAGAAATCTTATAATTTATGCCTTTTATTTCTTTGTATTTCAATATATTTTAATTTGTTTTCCTGCATTTGAAATAGATGTTGTGCTGGGAAGCCATCTAATATATACATGGCCCTGCTTAGGTCTGTCCTGAGGACATTTGGGGCCATGTCCTCGAGTCTGACAGACAACGGCCTTGGATAGCAGTTATAATGTCTCTTGACCTCAGCATCTTTACTACAAAATGGGATAACCATGTCTACTCAATGTTACTGGAAGATATAAATAATACAAGACATGTAAATACTTAGTGTAGGCTTTGCAATATTAAATGTAAGCTATTACTGAAAAGAAGTCTGTGTAGCAGAATGGACTGCGTTGGGGAGCTAACCAAAATGTCAGTGGATCAAACCCACTGGCCTCTCTGTGGGAGAAAGATGAGACAGTCTCCAGTCATGAATAAACAGTGTGGGACAGTTATGCTGTCTAGATAGAGTCATGTTGAGTCAAAACTCACTTGATGGTAGATGGTAGCTGTTACTATTGGCTTTGAACTAGAATGGAAAAACAGAGATGTGTAACTTCACTTTCATTGACTGGACATCACTCTTGATGCCAACTGATCTCTCTTTTTTGTTTTTCTAGGTGCTTCACTTGAATCGCATTGTAGAATCATTAAACCCAGAATTTAAGGACACATGTAAGGTATGGTAATAGCCCATCTCAGCTGATGAGTGACCTTTGTCAGGGGTATAATGGAGTTTCCTAAATACAGCCTTCAGTTTACTGTCTCTGTAAACCCTCTGGAGGATCAGCTATGTGTTAGTTTCCACTCCACATCACACAACAACAACTTGGGTTGTAAAAGAGATAGGGTTATCTCATTTAGTCTCTTTCAAGCTTCCTGATAATCATATCAGTCTACAGAGTTTAATGGAACGACAATTGTAAAGTCCTCCACATTTTGTTGCCTTATGTATTTTTACCCTTTTCAAACTTTTCTGTTCTTTTATGACCTATGTCCCATGTTGACTTGACTATTCGCATCTATGCAGTTAGATTTTATCAGTACAATGAGGAGGTGGAGCCAGAATCCTCATGCTTCCCCATGCAATTATGTACCGGAAAACAAGGCCTGATGGCCTCAACGAAGCTTCACTATTCTTGCCTCCAGGAGAACTCTGCCTGCACTTTCTCCAAGACACATCTGTTTGCTCTTTTGGCAGTCCATGGAATATTCAGTACTGTCCTCCAACACCACAAATCAAGCACGTTAATTCTTCTGTCATCCTTATTCATTGTCTGCCTCTCAAATACATAGCAAGTAACTGAAAACACCATGGCCTGAATGAGTGGTGCTTTTGTCATCAAGCTGACATTATTGCTCCTCAGTAATCTGGAGAGGTGCTGGGCAGTGGACTTTCCTAGTGCAGTACATCTCCTGATCCCATGACCGAGGGGGCTGACTGTGGATTCTTTATGTCAATATGTCTTTGAATTAAACTGTTAGCATTAACAAGTCTTTAACAACAATCGACAATTCCACACACGGGATAAAACCAGAAGTCATGATGATGATTCTGCTGGGCTAGAGAAGGAAAGTGTTCAGCTTCCTGTTTCTTAGTGCTTGCTGCCCCTTGATCCAGAGGTGAATGAATACCTTGTTCTCTCGATATAATTTTCTCATTACTAGCAGGCATGGCATTCGCTTCCTAGACAGCATGCTTCTGGTAACTCTGTGAACTTTGATAAATGGTGATGATTGTGGAAGGGCTTCAGGACTTTTGTTCATGTGGCTGCTATGAGTTGTTCTCGACTCGACGGCAATCAACAACACACAACACCAATTACTCACCAGCGACAAGAAATCAAGCAACCTAATAATATACTTTCCTTTGTTTGTTGAAGCTTCAGTGCAGTGGAGCTGGAAGAATTCATTCAGAGTTGGAAGCCATATTCTCTCAAATCCATCAGCCAGACTCTAACTATACCCTCAGCATTGCCAATAGACTCTTTGGGACAAATGTGAGGACATTCCATCAGGTAAGCCCATCTGGCCTGGTAGCCAGTAGTTTTCTTTGCATCCTCTGAATTTCATACCACAAAATCAGCAAAGAATGGAAATAACCATCTAGCATTCATCTTTGAGCACATGAATTTGAACTTAGAGTCTCAATGAAGTAATTTGGCTAACTTCCATTTAAAATTGTGAGGTGTCATATCAAAATGTGCTCTTACAAAATCTCTGAAGTTGACCAAGAACTAACATGAGAGATGAAGTACAAAATAAAGCAGGTAAGAATCTTTCCTTATGAACCAGAGCCAAATGAAAAGAGTTTTCTCATCTCTTCTTAAATGTCTTCAATGGATAATATGTCAGAGATGAACAAAAATAGAGATATTAAGATGCTTTTGTTCACACTTTATAGGAAGTTGAAGAAATGACAATCCTCTCTACCAGGTTTTATTGTTTTAGGACTTCTGTTTATGGTGACCACTGGGTGGTCATATGGTGTAGGGAAAGAGTTACGTCCATCTCTTACTTCTTTGTAATGCCTCTGGCTATAATTTGTGCTTTTCTAGTAACTTTCTGTTAGTCCTCAGCGAATAAAATGACTTAATATCTTTGTTTTTTCTTTTCTTGTCTATAACATGATAGTAATTTTTTTAGAAACATTTTTCTTTATTTTTTTTCATTTTCTAAATTGTTCTTCATGAGAAAATACTATACTGTTTACTCAGTTTCAATGTGTTCTCTTTTCCATGTGGTCCTGGGATTGACGATCTATCAATCACATTTCTTTTTTCTTTTTTTTTAAATTCCATAAAATCTTACAATTTGGGTTTTTAAAAAATTTTATTAATTTTAATGAACATTTACAGAGATTGTGGATTTCCATTCACTCATTGTTGCACTTTTCTCCCTGCCCACCCCTCCCCCCAGTTTGCTCTTCTCTTTAAAAAGTGAAATTCCTTCATTGGCATACAATCTCCCCTCCCCAGTACACTCAACTATGCAACCTTCATTTCTGATTATCTGTTTTGAAAAGGAGAGCGGGGACAGGGTGAAATAGAATGCAGTTCACCTCAATTCATTGCTTTGCTTTGAATTTCTTAAGAACTAAGAAAGGCAATGATATGGCTGAAGTAATACTCAAGCTTTTTTTAGCATTTCTCATAGAAAACATTATTTTTGTCAAAGGTATTTGTTACGTTAAGATTATATGCAGATGCATTCTGCTTCTTTCATGGTTTTCTTTTAATTGAGTACCACTTTAGAAATAAGTAAAGCAGAAGACTTTTGTTCTCCTTACACTATGTTTGTGTTAGGATCAGGTGGCACAGTGGTTAAATACTTGGCTATTACCCTAAAGTTTAACAGTGTGAAACCACCAACTGACCCACAATGAGGCAGTCTTATCCCATAAAGATTTAAAGTCTTGGAAATACTGTGAAACAGTTCTATTCCACCTTGGAGTAAGTTGGAATTAACAGATTTGGTTTCATTTTGGTTATCTTTGTGTTATTTTCTTTTCTTTTACAGATATATTTAAATAGTTCTGAGAAACTGTATGGGGCTCAACTGCAAACTGTGGATTTTGAGCATTCTCCTGAAGAAACAAGGAAAACTATTAATGCTTGGGTTGAAAGTAAAACCAATGGTAAGGACAAGCCCCACACCCACAATGGTGTCTCTATACTTTATCTGTGCTGTGTTCGTTAATGCCTTAGGTAAATGCTAGCCAGGAAACTGGATGAAGTCCAACACAGGCAGATCAACAATTAACGGAATAGAAGAATACTTTTTGGAATTGTTTAGTTGGAAAAATAGTGGTTCTAAAGAATAACCTGATGAACAAAAAACATCTTTATAAATCTTGTGAAAGTAATTTGTAATTATGAACTTAACTTCTATTTATTTAAGACCGCCTTAGTTTCTTTCAATTACATTTCATATTTCTCTAGGTTGGAGTCTTGCACACCTTTGCTAATTGTTTCCAAGTATTCGCTGAATTTGAGCTGCTATTATTTAAAATGTCATTTGTTTATGGCATGCAACTGTATATTACTTTTGTATGCTCACACTGCTGGATTCACTCTGTATTTCTCATGTAGCCTGAGGTTAGACTTCTATCCACACAATCATCTTCATTCTTAATCTTTTTTACTTCCTCCTGTGCTTCTTTTTAGGTCTCTATTGGTCTAGAAAGTTTCCTTTCATCATTTTTTTCCTCACCTTTGTAGACTATTTGTTGAAGAACCCCTCCCCCCCACATTTGTCCTACTGTTTTTTTCTGATCAGAACAGTCTTATTGACTATTATTGTGTGCAGTCTTATTGGAACCAACTCAAAGCTCACCCTTCAGAGGCAGTACATCTCATAGGAGGAGATTACTCATCCTTCTCCCTTGAATAAGCTGGTGGATTTGAACTATATGCCCTTGGGATTGCAGCACAGCTTTTTTACTACTAGGCAATCAGAAATCTTGTTGACTAGGACCTTCAATTGTTGTTGTTAGGTGTCATCAAATTGACTTAGACCCATAGACACTCTTTGAGCAAGACAGCTGAACTTGACCCTATTTTGTGACATACTGATCATCTCTGACATTCTCAAGCCCATTTTTGTATTCAGCGTGTTGAGCAATGTTGAGTGGGAACATGAAAATCCTTGGGTCTTATTTTTGAACTTAGGGAAAAAGCTTTACATAAATAAAGAACTCATAGTTAGCTAAAGTTTGTCTCAGGTAATTTTTAGAAATATATTATTTTTATTTCTTTCTAAAACATATTATTTTTAAAGACATTTCCCTATATTTCTAATTTACCAAGAACTCTGACATAACTAATTACCATTTATTGAAACTTTTTCTGTATCCAATGGCCTAAGGATGACAGAAGAATTTATGCCTTTGAGTTGTGATGTTAGAAAAAAAATGCTGAATATCTCATGGACTGCCAGAAGGACAAACAAATGTGTTTTGGAGAATGTGCATCTAGGGGGGTACATCTTGGAGTCAAGGAGAGTGAAACTTCATCTCAGATATTTTGGGAATGTTGTTAGGAGGGTCTGAAAGGACATCATGCATGAAAGAGTGGAGGGTCGATAAAGGAGGGGAAGATCTTCAATGAGACAGACTGATAGGGCGATTGTAATGATGAACTCGAGTATGTCAGAGATGGTCAGGATGGTTCAAGATGGTCAGGATTCAGATTCATTGCTCATAGGGTTGGCATGAGTTGTGGTAGACCTGAAGACACTTAATAATAACCTAAAAGATCAATCTTCTTAGACATCTTTTTAAAAATTATACTAGTTTATTTACAAAATTTGAATACATTGTTTTTCACACCAGAGTCTTCTAATTTCCCTCTCAACCCATCAAACTGTACAACCCCATGATTAATTCCCACATCCTGCACATTCTCATCCCTCTGCTTCTACCCTCCCCCACTCATTCTACAATAATGGTTTTATACAATATTTGTTCTTGTGGGACTGAGTTAATTCATTCAGCATAATGCTCTCCAGTCCCTCCAAAGTTAGGTAATAATTTACAAAATCATTGCTCCTATGTGCTGCATAGTATTCCATTGTGTGAATGGACCATAATTTCTCAATCCATTTGATTGTGGTTGGACATTTGGGCTGTTTTCATGTTCCTGTGATGGCAAATAACACTACTATGAACATTGGTGTACAAGTCTCCAGTTGAATCTCAGTTCTCATTTTTTTTGGGGGTATATTCCAAGCAATGGAATAGCTGGCTCATTTGGAATTTCTATGTTCAGCTTTTTGAGGAAGCACCAGACTGCCTTCCAGAGTGGTTGTCCCATTTTACAATCCAATTAACAATGTATAAGAGTTCCTATCTTTCCACGTCCTCCCCAACATTTAGGACTTGCTGTCATGTTAAACTTGCCACTATTACTGGAGTGAGATGGTATCTCATTGATTTGCATCTCTCTTATTGCCAGTGATTTAGAGCATTTCTTCAAATGTCTGTTGTCCATTTGAATAACTTCCTCTGTGAAAATTCTTTCCACGTCTTTTGCCCATTTTGTAATTGTGTTATCAGTGTTTTTTTTTTGTTTGTTTTTTTGTTTTATTTTGTTTTGTGGAGGCCCAGGAGTATTCTGTAAACTTTTGTTATGAGACAAGTCTCTTTTTATCTCAGGGTTTCTCTTCTATCTTCTCTCCTTCCCAGGTGATTTGTTGAAAAAAGCAAATACTTGTCCTGCTGTGTTTTTTCCTGATCAGAAATAGCTAAATGTTCCTTATTCTTTGAGACAAATCTAATTTGGCAATGACAAACTCTATTGCCAGAAGATGAAGCTCTCTGGGCATTCCAAAATTCTAACCAGCTTTTAGAAAGCAGTGCAATTTCTGAAATTAGCAATATGGGATCAAGCTGATAACAGCAACTCCAAATATTAGGAAGCAATGTCAGAGTTGAGAAGTTTGTACTATGTGGGGAAGAACAACTCAGAGAAGGAGAGTGAGAATAAACGCACAATTCTAAGAATATAGTCAATTTCATTGAGTTGCACATGTCAAAACTTTTAAATCTGTATCTGTTCTGCTGTGAATAGGTCAACACTATCAAGACAGATACAATTTTAAAATAAGAAAGCAATTGCCCCATATGTCTTATGACTATTTTCAACTCTTTGTTGTCAGTAAGTTGAAATAGAAATAAAATGACCTTATTCTTGGTTTTTGTTTCCTTCTATCCCTCAAACAAGGAAAAGTTGTGAACCTCTTTGAAAAGGGAACAATTGAATCTTCCTCTGTATTGGTCTTGGTGAATGCCATATATTTCAAAGGACAATGGCAAAATAAATTTAATGAAGGAGAAACGACTAAAACCTCCTTTCAGCTAAGTGAGGTAAGGATCTCATTTTCTGATTGATGGCACGCTTTGAAGAAGACAATGTTTCACTAAAGAACAATTTAGAAAGTTTTAGAGAAAGGACGAGCTAGTCTGGGTTTCAATAAACCAAAACCAAATGGAATGCCATTGAGTTGATGTGCACTCATAATGACTCATATGTTATAGAGTAAAAACACTCCAGAGGGTTTCCTCGTCTTAATAATTTAATTTCCTTCTCTCTCATGACCATAATTTTTACTGAAGCAATACCCACAATGTAATCATGTTTTCCCTACTCCTTCACCATAATTATCGTTTTCCATTAATTGCTACTTCCTGTTTTCACGCCTTCATCCCTGTGCAAATGTTACTCTTTTATGGTTACCTTATAATGTTACCTTATATGGTTGGCCATTCTAAAGAGTGTATGTCTCTCTGATATTACTGTTTACCCTACAGATCTACTTAGTGTTTGCCTGAGCCATTAGAGTGGAGTTTTGTTCTAAGTTAGCCCTGGTGACCTAGTGGTAATGAATTGTGATGCCAACCCAATGGCATGTGGTTTGAACCCACCACCATGGGAAGATGGGCTGTCTCCTCCTGTGCAATTTCCTGCCTCTGAAAACCCACTGGAGGATCAGTTAGGAGTCAGTTCTGACTTGACAGGACAGAATAACAACAGCGATTATGACTGAGGTTGAAAGAGAATCTTGGAGGTTCCACCAATCTCCCTTAGATCAGTAAACCTCATTTTCATTTTTTGTCTTTTATAAGTTTTCACTTTTTTTCTATGAAGTAATTTATTCTTAAGAAGACCTAATGGGAGTCCCTCGATACAGGGGCTCACTGGCAGAGGAGATAAACATTTCACTATGAAATGTTTATGAAATCTATGGGTAACTTATGGTTATCCAACTTACAGACAATTCCTTTTAATGTTATGCATGAAAATTTGCCCCCATTTATTGAAGCAATCTCTACTTGTAACAAGTTCTGCATCACGATCATCTTCATTTACTGCGAGCATAGCTTTTAAATCACTGAAGAGGCTCCCAGCTTTTTTTCCCTTTTACTAAAGTAAGACTAAGTAAGAATCATTTATACTTGTTCTGACTCACCTAAAAATTCTACTCAAAGCCACTCTAGGATGCATCTCCTTCATAACCGTAGGCCTTCTTGCATTTTGCCATTAATTTTTCTGGCAGTAAAGCAAAATCATCTCTAGTATTTTATCCTACAATATCTATAAATGGATAAAAAAATTCTTTTCTATGCTGTCATTTTTCCACGTATCTCATTTTAGCTAGAAACTCTGCCTTTGATTTTGAGACGCGCAGGTCATTTATGTGAATTAGAACTAGTCAGCCTTGAGTGATGACTTACTTTTTTGTTTGTTTGTTTTTAATCATTTTAATGAGCATTTACAGAGATTTTGGATTTCCATTTATTCATTGCTGCACTTCTCTCCCTGCCCATCCCTCCCCCCCACCATGACTTACTTTTAAAACAAAAAAGTTTATAAACGTCACACAAAGGAAATCCTAAAGGATGCACTCAGTGGTTTTAAATTTACCCACCGTGTAGTGTATTATGTGTTGTGCTTTTAACTCGATGTCATCGTTTCAAATCTAACAGCTACTCCGTGGAAGAAAGAGGTGCAGTTTCTTCACATAAAGATTTGAGCCTTGGAAACCCAGTGGAGAATTTCTATGTGAGGAATTGAGCTTATGGTAGTAATTTTAGAGTGGTAAAGAGTTCTAGTAAAATAGTGGGTTAAATGCTGGCTTGCTCACCCAGAGGTCTCAATTAGAAACCATTAGCAGCTCAAAGGAAGAAAGATGTCATCTACTCCCATGTGGAATCACAGCCCTGGGAGGCCAAGGGCAGCTCTGCTCTGTCCAGGAGGGTTTCTCTGGTGGGAATTGATGTGATGGCAGTGGACTAGGTCCTAAGTGCTAATGTAGATATCCTTTTTATGTTATTTATAGGTACATCTCTATTGTACCATCTAATCCCAACTTCTTTTTTTTTTCTTCTTCTTTTGATAGGGTGAGAGTGTGATTGTGGAAATGATGTATCAAAGTGGGGTATTTAGACTGGCCTCCATCACGCAGCCACAGATTCAGATCCTCGAGCTACCTTATATCAACAACCAACTTAGCATGCTTATTCTGCTCCCAGTAGGCACAACTAAGCTAGAACAGGTAAGGTGACAAGGCCACTCCCAGCCAGTGGGATGGCCCTCGCTACCAAGCTGGGGCCCTGAGCACGCTGTCCAGCTCTGATTCACCCACATGTGGCATAGCTGTGTGGCCCTGGAGGCTGTGGAGGGAGTTGGTGAGAGGGACACTCGATCTTTGCCCTCAAGGGCAGCGCTATTAGAGAGAACAAGGCCATTATTGTGGAAAGAGAAAGACACAAGGAAGCAAACACGCCGTCCTGTGCAAAGTTAGGAGCATATGCGTATATAGGCAGTTTGTAGGTGCAAACACACCCACATATTGTTGGACATCTGGCATTTGGAAGTCATCTTCCTATAGACCCATGATTTCTGCACAGTTGGACTCCCTGTCCACAAAGTTCTGATGAGCCTGCTTGCTTTCAAGATTAATATTTCAGATCCAGTGGTCACATGATTTTATGACATGTTAGCCTTTATAGCATTCACTTTTGTGGGAGACAGGTCAGCACTTGAGAGGAGGTGTGGTGACAAAGGTTTTCCTTAATGTCTTCTTCCTGGCTATGATGATTTATGGTTTTATTTAACGTCTTTTACCTAGCTGTAGCAGGTTAGGGTTTCATTTAACGTCCTCTTCTTGGCTGTAGTGTCTTCTGGAATAGAGGTAAAGGGTTGTTGTTGTTACATGCCATCAAGTTGAGTATGACTCATAATAATCCTCTGAACAATAGATGTGAGCCCTGTCTTAACCTGTGCTATCCTTGACACCTTTGAGTCCATTGCCAAAGACACTGTATCAGTCTATCTCATCGAGCGTCTTCTTTACCTTTTCAAGCATGAATCTCTTTTCAAGGAAAAGCATCTCTTAAAAATATGTCCAAAAATATGTGCAATCTTTGTCTCCAAGGAGTGCTCTGCCTGCACCTTCTCCTCGATGTATCTGTTTGGATTTTTTGACAGTCCATGGGATATTCAGTCCTCTTCTCTAACACCACAACTCAAATGCATCAAATGCGTCTCCTCTAATCCTTACTCATGGTTCAGCTCTCAGATGAATCGCTGGTGACTGGAAAGATTGTGGCTTGAATCAGGCAGATCTTAGTCTTTAAACTGACATGAAAATCCTTTGAACAATTCACAGGTGAGGGGTAGACAGTAGAAAAGAGACATTGTGAACTAATGAAAGTTTTCCTTTTCAGCTAGGTAGGACTTCAGCACATTTTAAAAGCAAAAAGAAAGGGATGGGGCAGAACCCTTCATGCTGAGAATTATCACAGCGATCAGCGTCTACTAGGGAGGCCCGAGCATCTGATTTGTCTGGACTCACTTTTCTTTGTCTCTTAGATAGAAAATCAGTTGAATGTGAAGACGTTCCAGGAGTGGACCAGCTCTTTCATTCTGGTGGAAAGAGAAGTAGAAGTGCATATCCCCCGATTCAAACTGGAGATAAAGTATGATCTGAATTCCCTGTTGAAATCTCTAGGGATAGTAGATGTCTTTGACCAGAACAAAGCTGATCTTTCTGGAATGTCATCGCCTAGGGGCCTGTATTTATCAAAGGTCGTCCACAAGTCCTATGTGGATGTCAATGAGGAGGGCACTGAGGCTGCAGCTGCCACTAGAGATATCATTGCGGTAAAAAGGTTCCCAAACCGAGCAAAGTTCATAGCCAACCATCCCTTCCTGTTCTTCATACGGCACATTCGCACCAACAACATTCTCTTCTGTGGCAAGCTCGCCTCTCCATAAACAAAGAGGGTTGGCTAAGGCTCGAAAATACAGAGGAGGCACAGGGACAACAGATCCAAACAAGTTCACTCTCATGGGAACCTCGTTATACAGGAACTCAGTTTGTTCATATGAAAAATGGGTTTAGGGTTTCTCCTTAGTCTCTAGATTGATGAACTTGAGGGTCTTGTCATCCATGGAAGAAAGGTACATTCACTCAAAAGGCTTTTCTGATTTCCCTCCCTCCCCAACCCATCAAATTGTACAACCCCATGATTAATCCCCCATCCTGAAAAACATTGTATTCAAATTTTGTAAATATACTAGAATAAGAATAATAATGATAATAAAAGGCTTTTCTGGCTCTCTTTTATTTGGAATCTCATCTGAGAGCTCTCTGGGTGACATGAACAAAGTAACATGTTTAAAGGGTGAGATTTTCTTGACTCCTCTGTGCCTGTGAGACCTTGAATAAGTGACCAGTCCACCCTCAGAAAACCAGTTTGAAAGTTTCAACTTCCGCTGGATTTCACAAGAAAGATTGTTTGGTTTGCATATGTAAAGAAAACATTATAAATTTTACTTCAATATTCCGAACTGACTAAGGAATTTTATGCTTTATTATACTTTTTTATAAGGCTTGGAATGTGTGTTAATGACTTATAAAATGAGACTGAATAGTAAGAGTTGAGTTGAGTATTTCAGGAGAACATTTGGCTAAATCTTTGTCAGGTCCTAAATTAAACAGTAAATTCCTTCTTTAAATGCAGTGAATAAAGGATAAGAACAGCGAAAGAAAGAAATCAGATTTTTATTTACAGAAAGCTCCCCTGTTTTCTACCTGTGAAGCATGACACACAATCAGATAATTGCAACCTCAGTACTCTCTGTTCTGTGTCCTGACATTTTATCCCTGACCTCTCAGAGCAGAGTGCAACAATAACAAATCCAAACCCAAACTCGCTGGGAGATGCCCCACGTTTCTCCCATGGATTTGAACCACTAACCTTTTAGTTAGGAGCCCCATGCATTACACCCTAGCTATTAGGGCTCCCTGAACTGAGAAGAAGAGCTCCATGGTCCTCTGTTCTCTAATAAATTGCATCACAGAAGAGGCAGCCAATGACCCCTTAGCTTTCTCATTAGCATAGTGTTAGATGAGGTTTACTATATTCATGTTGTTGTTAAGTGCCGTCGAATCACAGGTAACTCATAGGGACCCTATGAAGGAGAGTCCTCAAAGCTTGGGTGTCTTTCATCCTCTCTCCAGGTTCATAGGGTTTCCGGAGGCAAGCTATTACGGAAGTGGATGCCACTCCTCCTTCCAAGCTTGTTTTAATTGGGGAGCTCCACACCACGCTCTGTTTGCATTGGGTAACCAATCATTAATGCATTTGACACATCAGTGTCACAATGTTCAGCCTCACAGCAACCACAAGTAACTGCTGAGTGGCAACTTGTACACCAGAGCTATACGACCTAGAGGAATGTCTGAACAAAAACAATGAAAGACAGGCCCAAGGGCTGCAGATTAAAAGTCACCCACCTTTGTCTTGGTAGCATCACCTTCTGTCCACTGGTCCAGCTGATCTCTCTCTCTTTATGTTGATGTTATTGTTGTTAAGTGCTGTTGAGTTGCAGGCGACTCATAGTGACCCTATGAAGGAGAGTCCTCAACGCTTGGGTGTCTCTCATCCTCTCTCCAGGTTCATAGGGTTTCTGGAGGCAAGCTATTATGGAAGTGGATGCCACTCCTAAACTAAGATATTATCAAGTAGCGAGCAACAATCTCATATTGAAGTAGAACATTGAAGAGAACATGCATATGTTGCTGGCTGCCTTCTGATTGGCTTCCAGTGCATGCTAGCCATGCCCAACAGTACTTGACCTTGTGAGCTATAGGATCATCCCTATGATAACATGTAAACTTGCCTTGTGGAAGTGGCTGAAGCCTCGTTGCACAGATGTGCTTCAAATGATCACCTACCATGACCATTTGTCACACGGCAAAAAGCCACAAGGCCACAGGATAACCCAAGGTTAATGGCAAAGCTGATCTAATGATAATTTCAAATTTTCCAAGATTCATACTTCGTGCATTCCACGATCTCATTATTAACAGATTCTTGCAGCTGCTTCTCCTCATTTTGAGTCATGACACGTAAGCAGATCCTTCATTGGCTGAAAACATATCTCACTCTGTATCGTTAAGATAGAACTCTACTTTAATGAGGCAGCTCTTCCCCAGTTGTATTCCAAGTGTTTCTCAAGCTGAGGTTCTCCTCCCAGACCTCTGTTAGACAGTCTTCTAGTCATAGGACTTTCCTTGGTCAATTGTTTCAGAAGTGGGTGGCCAGTCCTGTTTCTTATTGTGTCTTAGTCTGGGAGCTCCACTGAAACCTGCAGGGCATGGGTGACCTTGCTGGGATTTGAACTTCCGATGGTACAGCTCTCAGCATCACAACGACTCTCAAGTCAGTACAGGATGGCAAACTGACAGACAAGTGGTAAAAACAATAGGAAGAGACAGCGAGAAACAATGAGTGATGTGGAAAATGTCAGATGGATCTCTTCGTGTCCAATTTTTCACCTTAAACATCCTGAAGAGATGCCACTCATAGACCAGTCAGTTTTTGTTGTTGTTCCTCTGTGCCGTCAAATTAGAACTGACCCATAGCTGACCCCCCAGCAGGTTTTCAGAGGCGGTAAATCACACAGGAGGAGACCGTCCATCTTCTTCCCGAAGGGCTGCTGGTGGATTTGAATTGTGCGCCTTTGCTCTGGCAGCTCAATTCTTGACCACTAAGCCAGGTATTTTCTATGGCAGCTGGCCTAGACAAGCTTCCAGGGTGGCACAAGTCAGCACTTTATGGGTCTACTAGCTGAAAGATCAGCACTTGGAATCCACCAGCACTCCACTTGAGAAAAATTAATTACATCTCCACATCAAGAAAACAAAACCCCTGACCACTGGACCAATGGGCAACATCTTGACAGTTGGTAAAGTGATAAAAATGGTCAAAGATTTATTTCCTCCCACTTGTATCCATAATCAAGACCTTTAGTATTAGAAGCCAGGAAATCAAAAGACATTATATTGTATTGTATTGTATTGTATTGTATTGTATTGTATTGTATTGTATTGTATTGAGAAAGTCTGTTGTTGGAGACCTCTCCAAAGTGCTGAAGAGCAACGATGTCAGTTTAAAGGCTAAGGTGTACCTTATTCAAGCCATGATCTTTTCAGTGACTTATTATGTGGCTTAAAGTTACACTATGAATAAAGATGATAGAAGAAGAATTGATGCCTTTGAGTTGTCGTGTTGGAGAATAGCACTGAGCATCCAACAGACTGCCAAAGGGACAGACAGATATATCGTAGTAAAGGTGCAGCCAGGGTGCTCTTTGGAAGCAAGGAGAGTGGAGCTTCTTCTCATACTTTGGGCTTGCTGTTATGAAGGAGGAAGTCCTCAGAGAAGGACATCATGCTTCCAAAGGTGGAGGATCAATAAAGGAGAGAAAGACCCTCAATGATGGGAAGACACAGTGCCTGCAACAATGCGCTCAAGTGTGTCAGAGATTGTGAAGATGGCACAGGATGGAGCAATGTTCAGATCTGTTGTTAGAGGGTCACTATGAGTAGTAGTCAACCCGAGGACACTTAGCAACAACAACAACTTCTCTTCATAAACCTTGTACTTCACTGCTTTGAACTATATCTTTTTCCAGAATAAAAATCTTCTCCCTAACAGGAGTGGCATCCACTTCCTAAATAACATGCCTCTGGAAACTCTGTGAACTTTGATAAATATCAATCGGGGCTTCAGGACTTTTGTTCATAGGGTTGCTATGAGTCATGCTTGACTTGAAGGCAATCAACAACACAACAACAACAATATGCTTATAGCATGATGGCTCAGAATAAAATGTTTGCTTAAATTTTGCTGTTGTTTTGACTCTTTTTAAGAAGGGGATGGTATGGGTACCCACAGAGGCAATTTTCTGTGGGGTTCTGTGAGTTACTTCAGAGGGTGAGCATCTGTCATGGGGTAAATTGTGTCTTTCCAAAATAAACGTATGTAATGATATCAAGTGGAAGCTATACAATGAACCCCCCCCCCCATGTTTTGGGAAATCAAATAGTTACTAAAGGATTAAGGATGGAATGCAGCACCTCTCAGTCTCATCATAGCCCTGAGTTGATGGAAAAGGAGTTTTCATTGGGTGTGACCTGTAATATCATTCAAGCTACAAGACATTAAAGGGGAAAGAAGTGAAGGGGTGGTGACTCTAGACATCACCAAAGAAGGCTCTCTAAGAGTGGAGTGTGCCCTTCGAACACAGGTCTTCTTGCAGGGAATTTCCTTGACACCAGGAAGGGCCAGGAAACGTGGGCATCTCCAAGGAGGCTAGGCTTTCCCTAGAGCTGGCACCCTAATTTGGGACCCTGAGCCTCCTAAACTGTAGGAAAGCAAATTTCCATCCACTTATGTTATTATCCACAGATAATCCACTTATGTTAGTATCCACAGATGCTAAGACAAGTTTCCTTTTGGGGAAAGTGACTTGGTTAAAGTTACATTCTAGAAAGGTCCCTTGGGTTTCCAATTGACCATCTGTATGGCGAGAACAGTGACATACATGCTTTGGGATATAAGGCACATAGGAAGGGGTGTTTTCAGGTCAGCCATTGTCTAGGCAGGCAGAGTCTGCTTGTAGTTTGTTTGGTTTTCTGTACAGAGTTTCTCTGACAGTTGAGGTGTCCCAGTGAAAGGTGCCACCAAGGTGTCTCATGAGGTGATAGAATTGTTCGGTCTTGTGGACATGAGTCATAGAACTCACACGAGTTGTGATTGGACCATACCAGGAGCTCACTGTCTAATTCCCAAGCTTCTCTGTCTAGTAAGGTTTGAAAGTTCCTTTGTTAAGGGTCAATAAAACTGTTGGGGCGATGTTTCCCACATTGAGACTTGGCCAGTTCTAGAAGGTGTGTCTGATTCAGTCACTTCTTATGCACCTAA